AAGTAGAAACTTGGTTTTCCAATAAGGAATTCAGAATACGAAGAGAATGTGACTCTTTACAAATCCTAAGTCTAACCTTTAAAAAAAAAAAAAGTGTTTTAACTAAACATATCCTGCAAAATGCAAGTTTGGAAGACTGTACATCATCCTAGAAAAAAAAATGATAATGGAATATGTTATAGTAGCAGCAAAGTTGAAAACTGAATCTGAGAGGAATACAAATGGACAAAGGAAACAGCTAAACAGACTGGTAAGGAAGAAGTCTCAAAGGAAGAACCATTTTTATCATAACTTACCAATAAGAGTAGTTTGTATTCTAACAAGAATCTAACAGCATGAACAGTCTTTCATTTTGATTATATACCCCCCCCCCTTTTATTTCCAAATAACATCAGGAATATTTTCAGAGAAATTAAGGAGAGAGGGACCCTAAAGTCTTTTCAACCATTTGTACATTTAATAAATATATTTGGTATTTTGAATGGGTACTATGTGCTAGACACTATGCCATGCCAGGCACTAAGCATACTGTAGTGAAAATGACAAAATAAGCACAATTTCTGAAGTCATCTAATGAGCAAGATAATAATAAAATAATTGTCATAATTATAAATGAAAAAGGCCTACAAAGGAAAAAAGATGAAGTGTCAAGAAAGTCCTTTCTGAGGAGAAATACTGGCTACTTCTCATTCCTCAAATCTCAAGTGTCAAGAAAAGAGTATGGAGAACACAGGCAGAGGGACCAGTTCTTTTGCAATGACCCCAAAATAGGAAAAAATTTACAACATTGAAAGTAAAAAAAAGAGACGGATGTGGTCAGAAAATTGTCATCAAAAAGAGCAGATAAAAACTATAAAAAGGTCTGCAAATGAAGAGCCAGATGAAAACAAGAAAAGAGAGTCATGTTAAAGAGCTTGGATTTTATCCTATATGCAATGAGGACCAACTTCAAAGAATTTTAAGAAAATTGAAGAACGTATTTCAAATGTCTGTTTTATTCCACAGCAAGACTGTAGTGACTGGGTGAGGATGAAAGTGAAAAGGGAGAAACCAATTAGGAAATTATTTAAATAGAGCAGTGGACAGGGTATCATAGAAAGAGACAAGATATAGGCTCTATCACCTTCCCAGTTATCATATAATACCAATTCTTAATTATTCCTGCTGCAATTAAATTTATACTTATTATTTAACAGCTGCTCTAGACATAATTCCATAGGACCATCACCTCAACTTCACTTTTTTTTTTTGGCTCAGGGGATTGAACCCTGGGCCTTGTGCATGTGAGGCAAACACTCTACCAACTGAGCTATATCCCTATCCTCCCACAGGACCATCATTTCAAATTACTGAAGTTAAAATTAGTACCGTATCCCAAAATATTTTTGTTATTTTGTCCAGTCAACTAATAATCTGCAAATTTTATTAAAAAACAAAAACATGAACACAGGGAAAATAATTCTAGTTTGTTTTACAAACTTAAATAATAAATTTTATACTGTAATCTTGCCTTACTTTGTAAATATGGTAATAAAACTGCACAAATCATAAAAGTCTACTTACTTAAACTTAAATTACTAATACCTTTAATGGTAGGGTTAAGTTACAAAACAAAGGAAAAACCTGACAAGGAAGATATCATTCTTCTCAGAGTTAAAAATGTACTGAGGGGCTGGGGTTGTGGCTCAGTGGTAGAGCACTCACCTAGCATGTGTGAGGCACTGAGTTCAATCCACAGCACCACATAAAGATAAATAAATAAAGGTATTACATCCATCCACAACTAAAAAAAAGTATTAAGAAAAAATGTACCTCACTGGCAACTATATATGCTAGGGTGCCCGATCTCCTACAAACCATCATCTCTGGACATTTATTTACTGATTGGATATTTACTGAGTGTTCAGTGAGTACTAGTTACTTTTGTTATCAAGCTGCCTTGTTACCTTCTTCATTAAGGAGAGAATAAAGTTGGTTACAGTAACCTCCTTAATAGTGTGCATACCTAGAAGGAAGAAACTCAGAATTTCCTAGATCTGTCATTATATCCTCTCCAGCTCTACCAGGGCAGCAATGGCAGAATCAGGAGATGGATGGGAAAGAGCCACACATAGCAGAAATGTTTACTGGGATAAGGAAAAAGACTCCTAAATTCCTTTAGGAGGCTTACCTTCAGACACAGAAGAGTGTTAACAGAACTGGAGCTTTCAATATACTAATAAGCTTCCCCTGCCAAAAGCTGACTGTCTCTTCTTGATAGTTGACAGTCTAGTAACAATGTCCAGTACAAAGTACAGTACTTCCCTTGTTGCTATCCTAAGTTTTTCTTTCATCACTTATCAAGACTCTTAGGAACATCTCTTGATCAATTCCCTCATTCTGATAAATAGAGCAATTGAAATGAATCTCCACTGAAGCAAACCCCTATCTACTTCCGTCCCTCTTTAAGAAATCATGCTGAATCCATTTCTACTTCAGAAACTAGTAACATAGTAATAACATTAGTGACAACTGGAAACTCTCTCTTTCCCTTTGTGTCTCTGGACATAGCAGCTTTTTGACAATGAAATAATCTTAAGAAAAACAAATAAAATAATAAATAATAAAAATAATAATGAATAATAATCTTAAGGAATAGGTCAACATATTGTTATTAGTCAAAATCAACCAAAAAAGCTACAAAGGAACGAAAGGTCAAATGAAACATTAATTGGAAACTGAATCTCCAATTTCTGTTCAACTATCTTCCAATCATCTATTAAAAGCTTGAATTAGTAATTCTTTATTTACCCAGTATTGACCATAAGCCAATCCTGCATATCAAGTCAATTAGTAATAAAATCTGTTCCTCATAGGCATCATTTCCTGGCAGATATATCATCTTGCTGGGCCAATCACCACTGTGTAGTTTTGCAAATCGCATTCTAAAGATTAATGGCCTCTCCACTAATTTCTGATTTTAAGAAAAGCTCATGTAAGGACAGTTCAAAGGTATAAAAACATATTGTCTTATCCCCATTATTACTCTGAATCCTCTACAGCAGTGGTCCCTTAATAATGAACTTTCTATGCCTCTGAATACCTCAGAACTATGGAAGTGGATTTTTGCCCTTGTGGGACTGGATTGGTTATGTCAAGAGCAGGATGTTTTGAAGTAAGGGTGCTTCTGTTTTCTTCTTTTCACATGCACCCTTCCACTTTCCACCACTAATTCAAATTGCACAAGCACAAGGCCCTTGCCAGTGGCTTCTCTTATTCTTGGGTTTCCCAAGCTTTAGAACCATGAGTCAAAATAAACCTCTTTTTTAATAAACCATCTGGTCTCAGGTATTCTGTCAGAGCAACAGAAATCAAACTAAGACACTGAGAAAAACAGACATGTCCACATTCATACAAAATGTAACTACCAATTTGAGAAGGTTTATACCTTATGTTTCATCATGGAATCTATGTCAAGATCCTGTTTCATAATCACTAGCAGAGCCACCTGAGATTTATAAGCAGGAGAGAGTCCTGTTGGGCAATTCCAAGATAAAGATAATCAAAGCAAAAGTGAGATGAAATTCACAACCATACTCTGAAGCCGAAATTATAGCACCACAGTGCTTATTTATTCATATCACAAATATTTATTGAGCACTATTATGTACTAGGCAAGGTATTAAGAAGATATGATAGTGATCAAACTCTGTTGTAGTTAATAAGGTTTTGGCTCTCATGTAGCTTAAAAGCACCAAAGGAAAGAAACTCTATCATCCTGATGAATAATTATAATAGGACAAAGAAAACATATTTTATGACTGCCTATAACAAAAGAATCTATTTGAGAGTGAAAGTTCATAAACGTTTCCTTAAAGGTAAGGTTAAATCTAACCAGTAAATAAGAGTAACCTATGTAGAAATGGGGGTGAGGAATAAGGTTAATATAAGCCTTCTAGATCAAGAGAACCACATAAACAAATATCCTAAGGTGGAGATAGTACGTAGATTAGGCAGTTGTACAAATATGAATTTAGGAAGTTGTGAGTTCTCCTATCAGTAGTTTTCTTCTTAACCTATTATCTTCTAATGAAAATAATGGAATGTTTATCATAGGACAGTTGAGAGAATTCAAAGAATATATGTAAAGAACTTAGTGAAATGCTGCCTCACATAGTAACTACTCACTTAATATCAATGGTGCTAATGATTATAGAGTAGTAGCTGAGAACTTGCACACAGTACATATTAAAAGTGCCTGAGGCTGAGCATGCCTTAATCCCAGCTGCTCAAGAGGCTGTCAGGAGGATCATGAGTTCAAAGTCAGCCTCAGCAATTTAGCAAGGCCCTAAGCAACTCAGTGAAACCCTGTCTCTAATAAAAAAGCTAGTATGGGGCTCAGTATTTAAGTGCCTCTGGATTCAATCCCCAGTACCCCCCAAAAAAAGAAGAAAAACTTAAAAAAAAAAAAAAAAGTGCCTGAGTTTACTCAACCCCAGTTTACTCAGCAGCTCCTGAAGCTACTGATAACAACTTTCTAAGGCAATATACAAGAAACAAATATTTCAATAGGGCCTACTCATCATTTTTACTTATATATAATGTGCTAAACAAAGAATTGTATTTATATATAACACAAATATGTCATCTCCACCTAAGAACTACAATATTTTACCACTGAGACTATTCTTTTAAATAAACTAACAATTTTACTGATGAACTCTGGAAAATGCTTAGGTGAAACAGTTGATGTATAATTCAAAAAGAAAATAATTTCACTTTGCTTCTAAGCAAAGTATTACATGGATCCCCAGTAATGGAGAATGTATTCTTTTAGTAGAAGTTTGTTAACATAAAAGGAAATACATCCTTTTCATGTATATACTCTCTCTTCGCGTATTAGATCCATTTTTTCCTAAACTTAAATATCTGATACATTTCCCGGACTGCTGGATTACTCAACAATTAAGAGCTGAGACATCAAAATACTTCACTTCTATACCACAAAAATGCAACATTACCTGGAAAACTAGTCTTCATTATATCAATTCCAACTTGTAGCTCAGGTTCAGCAGCAAGCACTGCATAGTCCCCTTGATGAGAGATGTTAAAGTTGAAATTAGGGTAAGGATTCAATGAGTCCTTTGCAAGGACTGGTTTTCCTTTTGCAGTTCTTTGCAAACGGATATGATTCCAAGGGATATTCAATTTCTCTGCAACTAATTTCCTTATCATCAGACGACCAGCCTGTTAAGTACATAAAACATATGTATTGATGTCTTCTAAACATTATTGATGTCTTCTAAACATTAGGCATAAAATATACATTTTTGTGGCTTCTGAAATTTTCAAGTTTTGGAAGTATATAAATATTAAAATATGATGCACTGCTATCAAGTAATTATTATGTAGATAGAAGAATACCATTTTGCTTAGCAATTTCTTCCCTTACCCCACAAGCAACATTAACAGCAGGTATCAATCCAGACTTCTCTTTAAGTATTTAAATATATGTACTTCTACATGTTTTTGCTAACTCTTGCTATATAAACACATATAAAATCATACTATGCAGTATCCTACAACTTACTAACTTTTTAAGTACTGGGGATTATTTCATGTCTATCCGTATCAGTCCAGTATGTAGCATACTTCATAGTATTGAGGTTCCATAGAGTATTGGCCATTCCCCTATTACTGAACAAGTTAGGTTATTATGAATATTGTAGATTTGCTGTTATAAAATTCCAAACCAAGCAACCCTCCTCTATCTACATTCGTACATATATGCAAGTATTTCCAGATTCTATGCATTGATCATTCAGCTTCAAAAATTAGTAAGGCATAACCTATCTTGTTCCAGTCTCACACTTCCTTTATTAAGAAAAAAAAAATACACACACACGAGTATGACAAGGTTTAAAATATTTTTTAAAACTCCTTCAGGACTTTTTCCTTCATCAATTTCAACACTGACTGCAGGACTTTCAAATTCACTGTTTCCAGTTTCTTACAAATTATTAAAAATATTCACCAATTTGCCCTCATAAAAGAATCAACTAACTGGCCCATATTTCAGTGTTTAAATATTGAGACATTTTCAAGAAACGAATGTCTATGAAGTGATGGTAATTAAAGGTTGCTTAAACTATGCTACACAGTAATTTATTTTGAAATCTAATTTGCCATATTTTGCTATAAAAATACAAACATAATTAAAAAACATAATACATCTATTACAAATACTGTTCCCCAAGATTGCATCCTCCCTGGACTTCAGTTTCATTGATAAACGGACGACTGGCCTAGGCCTCTTACAGTCCCATGGTACACAAGGATACAAGCAAGCTAAGTCGTATTGTCAATACTTTCTGAGCATGTGCAAGATGCCCCTGGGACACTGGTGGGCTATGTAAAAGGCAGATTAGCATGGCCTATGAATCCAGCAAAGAAAAAAAAATACAATTTGCTACCACGTAAAAGATACATACAATAACAATTAACTACAGTAAAAAAAAAAAAAAAAAAACCCACTATTACTCTGTAGGTTTTCCCTACACTTATTTTATGATTTGGTGGGGGTCTCTATTTTCAATTGCATGGGGGAGGAGCTAATTTTTACTGCGATCGAGGCCTCCCAGGAGGTTACAAAGACTTGAGAGACCAGGCCGAGAGCCTGACCGAGACCCCACAGCGCCGACCCCTCTTACCCGGGACGGTCCACAAGTGTTCTAGAGCTCAAAGATCCACGTTACGGAGGGAGGATGGTCTCCACAGCCCAAGCCAACCCACCTCCCCCAACATCTGCTTTCTCGGCTTTAAATACCAAAGACCTGTACTACCATGGCTGCCTTAGCGTCCCGGGCAAAGACGAACTGGCCAATGCGCTCCTTCTCCTCTGGCTGGATCGATCGCACCGCCAGCAGCCATTCTGCACGGCTCGGCAGCCAAGTGCCACAGGAAAAGGCCCAACGCACGCCCTCCATGGATGGCACCAAGCAGAACCGTTTGGCTGGGAAAACCATACACTGAACACGGGTTTCACCGCCACCTCGGGCCTGATGGCGCTGACGCTAGCGTGGCCACACCCCCTTCTTCTCGGCGTCTGTGCGTAGAAGGCGGGGCGCCGTGCGGCGTCAACTCGCACGTAGCTCTCCCAGAGCGTTCCCTGCCCCGCCCCAAATTCGGCGGTCTCCCCTTGGAGATAGCGGTCGGGGGCGGTTACACCAACGACCTCTGCGCTTTGCGGCACCGTGTGACGTCACGTAGGCGTGACCCCGCAGGCGAGCGAAGGGAGGGACCAAGGCCAGGAGCCCTACAGTTACGCCATTCACGCGTAGGGAAATACTAACCAGACAGCGGTGCAAGCCAATCGCAATCAGTGCTCTGGAAGCAGGGAGACTTGGGTGGAGACTTCAGAGACTGCAGTTGCAGGTGGGTGAGCTCCTGGGTCTGAGGGAGGAGTGGGATGTCAGTTCCTCATTCCTGGGGTCGGGGTTACCTCGTACGACCCCCAGAGAAGGGGCTTTCCTTACCTTCAGCTGCTTCTGTCGCCCCTTTGTATTTTGGGGAGGGAGAGGGTTTTCTGGCTAGGAAGGATTACCTAGATATCCCTGGAGTTGTGCAACGCGGTGGCCCTGAGTTGCCTCCTCCTCTTGCCCCCCAGCCTCATCTGTCAGTGGAAAACCTACCCTCACCCAGGCATTCCTTACCCCTATCAGCCGCCCACCTGAAAGCTGCCATCGAAAGCCTGGCTAAGACCCTGTCCTCAGCGCTGGCGCGAGCGCGGGCCCCGCCTGAATCCGAGGCTGTCAGCTAGCTGCTGGGCTAATGCTGACCCTTCATTGCGGCGCTTAGCGCCCAGGTGCTATTTTGCGGTTGCCACGCCTGAGCTAGTATTAAAGGGAGAAAACGGGATTCCGATGTTGAATCATCAGTGGTTTCATCTTGACAGAGGTCCTTGATCTCTCTAATAGCCACAGAAATCAAGTAAATAACTTCAACGGTCCTTCAGGTTTACTCTGTGCCTTTGCTCACTTTTTCCCCTCAGGCTTTATAAAGAGTCACATTGATATAGTCTGTTTCCATGTAGACTGTTTATGACTTTTTTTCGGTCAGTACTGGGGATTGAACGCAAGGACGCTCTACCACTAAACTACGTCTCCAGTCATTTAAAATTTTTATTTTGTGACAAAGTCTTGATAAATTACCCAGTCTGGCTGTGAATTGCCATCCTCCTGCTTCAGCCTCCCCAGTCACTGAGATTACAGGCATACGCCAAGACTTTAAGCTGTTGGTAACACAGAAAAAGCCCACCTGATCAAAGTTCTTGTGGATTTTGGTAGAGGGAAAAGTTGTATCTGCAGATGAATGTAAATACCCCGCTTGATGGTAGATTAAGTGCTATACAATGGATTCAGCCTATTCGCTTCTTCCTATGGCTGCCAGGAAATATCATCTATGTCCCGCAGTATTGATCACCACAGTTACCTGCCTGTTACTTCTTTAAGCAGAATTTTATTCCTTTTTTCATCTGTACTTCTTCCCCATTAAGTTTTTGTAATATCATGAGTCCCCTCGAATCCTGTGCAAGGCAGTGGGATTTTGAAAACACACACAGAGAGAGAGAGAGAGAGAGAGAGAGAGAGAGAGAGAGAGAGAGAGCCTCAGAGCACAGTAAGATGAATTATTGGCTTGAAATATCAATTTAGCTAATACTAAGAGATTTTGTCAGGTGCTATGCTTAAGATCTGCTTACCACTTGCAGGGAGCTTTGTCTAGTAAGGCAGATGAAGGACACACATAAAAAGCTTCAATAAGAAGATATGAAAAGTAAAAAAGTACTAAAATCTACATCAGCAATGATTATAATACAGTTTTTCATTTTTCACTTTTTGTATCTAAGCATCATACATCATAAATGAAGCATCATTTCCTTATCTTTTGAACTGATTTTTATAATTTTGGTATGTTTTCTGTTTTTAAAATACATCTATGTACATTATCTTACATGTTCTTCTGTTAATAATTATTAATGATGGAGAAACAGCTCAAAGGAATTTGCAAAATAATTTAAGTTCAGGTTTAGGAATTCATATTCCCTTCTTTTACCACTAAACTAATTGTACAAGATTTATTTAGTGCAATATACGGACAAGTGATGTAGTGGTTATTTTTACAGTTTTTTTCTACCTATAATATAATTCTCTCTTACCAACATCAGATTCCTTGTTCCTCTGTATGATTTAGGCTCAAATGTCATACAAAGATAATGTCTAGAATAGCTCATTCTCCTTACCCTCAATCCCAGCCCCAAGTCTACTACTCTAGTGAACACCCTTTGTAGGTTTATTTAAGTTAATCACCCTCCTTATTTACTTTTTAAAATCTTATTTGTCCTTCAAGGCTTAGCTTAAGCCTTTCTCCAGAGTATTAAAAAATAAAGGTATTGTTTATAGAATTCATTTGCCAATTATTCAAATATTGCTTTATAAAATCTCTTTTATGGTCCTGATACACACACACACACACACACACACACACACACACACACATAATCTTTCAAATAAGAATATAAATTGAGAAAGAATTTCATGTATATTTGAACTTTTACAATGATATACATAAGTAAATGTTAGTAATTGACTATTTTTGTACTGCAAATTGAAGCCAGGGTCTCAGTCATGCAGACAAGTGCTCTGCCACTGACCTATATCCCCAGCCCTTTAAAAAAAAAAACTTTTTGGGACACTATGCTGACCAGGCTGGCCTCAAACTTGCAATCCTGTTGCTTCAGCCTCCTAGATAGTTGATATTACAGGTATTTATCACTGCCCCCAGCCTAGTAATTGACTTTTACAATAGATTTTATTATTCTCATTGGGGTAATACTGTTTTTATATAGTCTGTCTTTATCTCCTTCACTTTTTTAAAAGGAAATATAAATACACCAGTTAGTAACTTGCCTAACTAGGTTCCATAAACCCAAAATTATATTAAAAATTGTTTATTGCATTGGTCAGGAGAAGAAGAGGATGAACATAATAGAGGCTTTGCCAGTTTATGAGTAATAGTCATTTTGCCTGATCCTGATTCATAGCTTCTTACAGGGATTCTGGGAGACATGATGTTCTCTTTCCAGTTCTACCACCAGTTGTCTGTATGACTTTGGTAAATCACTCTCCCAGGTACTAATTTCAGTGGAAAGGCATCAAATGAGATCTAGCTAAGATATTTGAGATCACTAGCTTTTTATTGGGTTACAAACTTTATTCTCTCTCAGACATTTTTCTTTTTTTCCACCCAAGACTTTATTGACTAGCTCTATAATTCTGCCAGTTTCTCAAGGAACAAACCATTATTCTCCCTTTTCCTCATTCTCCATGTTCATCCCAAAGCCCTATTTTGGTTCTGCTCTAAAGTAAAGCTAAATCCATCTATTTCTCTTCCCATCATTGTACAACTTGTCTTCAAAGCTAAATCTAGAAATCTATGCTCTTAATCACTATGCAACATTGCTTCCTAATTAGATTGACAAGGACAGAGTGTTGTGGCACAGAACTAATATTCCTGAAAGGTTAGATGAGGAGAGACATGAGAATTCAACTTTGAGATGATAGTGTGGTGACATTGAGAAGGGCAGTTTAAGTAGGGTAAAAGAAAGGAACTTGATTGTAGTGGAATGAGAAGGTAACTTGAGGCTATGCTACCACAAAGTTAGCCCTTAAAGAAGTTTTTTCTACTTGAAAAAAATATAAAAACAGGATGGTAGCTAGAAGAGAATAAGAAGTCAAAGATATTTTTTGTTTGGTATTTGTTTACAGATGGAGATACTAAAATTTGTATTCTGTGGAAAATGTATAGTAGAGAAAGAGAAATTTTACTATTGCAAGGGAGGTTAGTTGTGTGTGTGTGTTTTCACCACTCTAATGTGTACTCCGGAGTAGAGGACCTTGTCTGTATTGTTTTTAGCTGTATCTTCTGTATTTAGAACAGAGCCTACTATAATAATAACTACTCCCCTAACTTTCTAACAATTGCTGAATGACATGGACTCTGCTTCTTTTACTCTTTTTTCAATTTATTTTTCACATATTTTCTGGAAAGATTTTTTTAAAACACAAATCAGATTAAATACCTAGTTTAAAATTAGTTGTTCCTATTGTACTTCAAATCGAATTGTAGCTCCTTGCACCTGCTTTCTGCAGTCCTGTTTCCTGATATGATTGTTCCCACTAACTGTTCTCCAGGTACACCAGCTGCCTTTAAATTTCTTAAAAACTGAAGGACTACTTTCTCACTTTAGGACTTTATCTAGTATTTCTCCCACCAATACCTTACCTTCTCACCAGTCAAGTCTCAAATTACACCTTCTTAGAAAGGGATCTGAGTCACACCCCATGTACCCACTTACTTACTATTTGACCTTGGGAAAATTACTCAAAAATCTCATGTTTTTCTATCTAGAAAATGGAGATGATACTCCAGTTATCTGCTTTATATAATTGGTTTGAAGATTAAGAGCATGTATAAAGCATGAAGTACAGATCCAGGCACAGAGTGAGCACTGTGTTAACTGTAACCATTTTATTATCTGAAGTAGACTGTTCCTGCTTTTCTTTTTTCTTTTTTCTTTTTTTTTGTGTGTAATTTATTATCATCAGCAGGAACCATATCAGCCATATGCTCCAAAATATTTAGTTCCTAATTCATATATAGTTAACATATGCAATAAATATTGAATAGTATAAGTCAGAAATCTTGCTCCATTTTGGAACATCAGTATCAAACTAATAAGTGAATGACTCAATGAAATCAAAGCCCAGGTCAATTAGGACACAGCTTTAATTTCATATTTTATCAATTTTCATATGCCTTTCCATCACTACTTTGCATCAAAGACTTGGTTCTTAGGTTTGACCCTTGTACTTTTATTGATTCAATTATGTAAATCACCTTTTAATGGAGGACATTAAAAGAAAGAATAATTTGTTTTGAAAATTGATTCAGTCTTTATTAAACAGAAAGGTGTTTCATTGAAGCTGAGATGCAATAGATGAAATACACTATTATTTTATGTGCTACTAAGAAAAAAGATATGCCAGTTTAATTATTGTATATTTTTTTATCATTTGGAATTTTTCATTCTGAAAAAATGAGCCATATGTGCATGTGCTCCTGTGTATATATGTATACACACACACACAAAAAAAACATATATCCCTTGTACATACACTGAAAGAAAAATTGGCAGAGTTGTTCCTAAAACAACTTAACATTCAATCTCTATTTAGGCTCACTTTCAATTCATGCTCAATGTCTGTGTTATATCCATATAATATCATTCTTTGTTTATAGAATTAGTGATTCATCATTTCTTATGGAAGCATCTGTTATTATCTCCAGGGTTTTCTTCCAAGTTGCTAATATCCATT